GTTCAATTTTTACCACAAAAGAATAAAGCATTTTCTCTATCAGAAATTATGATAACTGAATGTCATAAAGATTGTATCACCATTATCAAAGACAACGTTTTATTTAATGGTGAATAGACTTGAAAGGGATTGGATAATCAATGATACATCCTCCCTTAATCATGATATTTTCTTCCTTTGTGTGAGAGTGATTCACATTAACTTTCCTGTGCTGAGTAAATGTTGAAACAGTGCCATTTGAGAATTTAGCGAATGAACACACTGTACCGATCACCTGTGTTAAACCAAAAAGTAAGACTTATCTGAAGGAATGTCTACTGACATATAAACCCCTATTCACTTCTGCAGGACAACCTCACAAAGCCAGAAAGTGTGTTGCGTTTCATGCGTCTGAGTGGTAACGCAGTGCTATTTCTAGGGGACGAAAAGATCATTTTTCAAAGTCATTTTCTGAAATGATTGCGCCTCCGTTGATGGATCACATCAGGTTATTCTTTGAAGCTTTAAGAGTAAGTGAGAACTTATGAGAAAAACTGATTTCAAAAAAAAAGCATGCCCGTCGTGGTGGCGATTCTTGGAAAGATTTCCCTCTCTTCCTTTCCAGAGCTCAGCTGAGCAGGTGTTACACGGTTTTATCTGTTGTAGACAGCAGCGGCTATTACTCCCCCATCCCCGCCTCCCAGGAGTCCGTTTTCCTACTTCCAGATGTAAGGCCACTCCTCCCTCCCGCCCACCTCACCTCCCAAACGAAGAAAAATCACTTTCAAATAACTTGTAGAGAGTGGCAGTTTCCAAGCTCTGTTAATTCACTTATACTCGCGATGCTGCTGTACATTTGTTATTAATTATTACATCTGGGAGCACAAATAGAGGAATGTCCATGAAAGCCCGCTCCGTCCCCACTCCGTGGTAAGTTTTATTGTGTGGGCCGTCCCTGAGGCTAGCTGGCTGCCTTCACCTCTGGCGTTAGCACAGGGCGGTGACTCCGCGCTATGCCATAGACCGGCTCTCAATGCGCGGTGCCAAGGAGATCCGAACGCGTCTGGGAGCCGAGATCTGGACTAGGAAACCTTTTAAGAAAACTGCTCTTCTAGCTTGCTTAAAAGTTAGGGGAAAACACCAAAAGGGATGAAGTGGCCTATTATACCCTCAGTTCCTACGGAAGGGACTCATCTTGGAGAAATCGCCCAGGAGTGTATGAAACTTTGGATTGATGCTTTGCTCCTGGCGTCCTAAATTCTAATTCAGATAAGGACTTTGATTAAGAACCTAATATGGGAAAAAGTGGCTTGAAGAAGATGTTTGAACGTGCCAAAGCTACAAGATGGAGGGCGGGAGACCCGCCCTGCACCGGACCACACCGGGCTTCCACGAGCCTCCCCAGGGGCAGGAGTTGGTGCAGACCCGGAAGAGAAGTTAACAAAAGAAGGAATGTTCAAGTGCCGCAGAGCAGTGGCAGTTCGGCTGCCAAACGGAGGAATCGGCGCCACACCCCCGCAGACGGAAGGATCTCGCCTTCGCCCTCTCAAGCGGGGAGCAGGGCTGGGACGCAGCTGCGGAGAAACAAAGATGCCTCATTTACAAAGCGCTGGGGATGCGCACGGACGCGCAGGCACGCGCTGCGCCCCAAGCGCTAGCGTTCCAAGGCGGCCTGTTTGGGAATGTCCTAGGCTCTGCGCCCAGAAAAGCCGGCGCGGTAACTTCTGACTTGACCTGATGCAGGGGAACTGACTCTAAGAGGCACCTCGCCTGCCCGCTGGGTGGGCGTCCAGGAAAAGCCATGTTAAGCTGACAAAGGATGGAAACCCGGGAAAAGGCCGGCCGCTAGGGGCCCGCTGGCTTGCTTGTAGGAGGTGACCAATGACTGACCCTCTGGTTGCTTTCCCCCACTGCCACAGTCCGCTTTGGAGCTTCAAGACAGCGCCCTAGGGGCCAGAGTGCAGGAGATGCTGGCTCAAAGACTGCCAAGTAGCAGGCCCTGGTGTGCAGCCCAGAAGGAGTCAGGCGTGGGGGTCGTACAGTTGTGAGTGAAGGAGCCGGACAGAGGCGCTCCTGGATGCAACTGCAGAGTTTTCTTGGGCGGTAAAGAGCAATCACGATGCTGAAGTCTGAGACGCATCGTGAGCGCATTTACCGCTGTGTGTGTGTGTGTTTGTGTGTGTGTGTGTATTGGGGGGGGGGCGAGAGGAGAGGGAACGGGGAGGGGGGGCATTGAGCACACGGAAGATGGGCGGAGTAAGGTAGGGCAGCGGCTAGGGTCATCACCCTGAGCTGGTGGGGAGGGGGTGCTCCTCCTTCCACAAACGGTGATGAGAGGAGGCGGGGTCTAGACCCAGTCCTAGAGGAAGCAGTGGAAGGGCAGCCCAGAGCACACCGCGGTGGATTTCCACTACCAGAGGGGAAGGGGGCTGGGTCGCCACCCGACTGGGCTCCGCGGTTGCCATAGCGCCCTAGCTGAAGCGCCTGGCGCCTGGCAACTCCTAGCCTGCTCCGGGGTGGGGGATGGGGGCACTGGAGGCAGCCTCCTCAGCCGAGGCGGCGGGGCTCACCCACACCCGGCAGCCGCCGCCGCCCAGAGGCAGCTGCTCTACCAGCACCTCCAACGCCTTCCCTCCCAGGGCACAGGGCCAGGGATGAGGTACTGGTTCCACTTACAGCCAAAGTTGAAAATAGCCATTCTCAAGCGCGGCTTCTGTTCGTTCAACCAACCACACAATCCACTCGGAACATGTTTACCGCAGAAGAAAATAAAACTCACACCATTGCATCAAAATAGTCCCAACAGGGAAATGTTCCAGTGATTACAATCTACACAGTCCTTTCCAGAGAACTCAGATCAGAAACCAGAGAAAATGATGTCCACGTGGACAATGTTTGAAGTTAATGCAGAAAATAACAAGTTATCTACAAACTGGGCTGTTGGTTTAGGACAGCAAAGGTCTGCTGTGGGAGTATTTGCCTAGTACTCCGTTCCTTCAGGACATTCTTAGCTTTGGTCTAGGAAACTGTATTTTTGTGTGTGTGTCAGCTCTTTTGGAAAGCTGCTACACACTCCGCTACAGTCGCCAAGATTTTTAATATGAAGATATGAAATGATCAGCAAATGTAACAATCTAATGATTCAGCAAATATCATGCTGCAAGACCGGAGCAGCAATAATTAAATCTTTTGAGTATTGGTGGCAGCTTTCAGGATCCAAGTCTTTTTTTCCACCCAGTCTGCAAACATGTTAACACATTCTCACTCGCAAACACATCAGAAGATACCTCAGGATAACACATAAGTAGACTGCAATACTCAAATTACTGGGCAAAACTACCATACTGTAGCACTTACCATGCTTGAAGCAGAACTGCTGAACACACACACATATACACACACAGACACACTTCCAGTGATATAGAAACCTGTTTAATCCTGTCCAAAGAAACAAGCATTCCAGTGGATGCTTGTTGCTAAGAGCAACGTGCTTAAGTACCACCTTAAGACAGAAGAAATCAGAAAAATTACTACAGTAGGAATTGAGCTATAATCCATTGTCTCTTTTGTCTTTATCAGCCTTCTTGACTCCAGGTGTCTACAAGGGGTGAGAAAGGGGAGGGGAGTTGTGTGTGTGTGGGGGGGGGGGGCTGTAATGTTCCCTTTCCTAATCTAAGGCATTTCTGCCTTGGTTCCACAAAGCCTGGGAGACATGGTGAATTTTATCATTTGGGGCAAAAAAAGGGGGGGGGGGAGGCAGAGGATGCTCTTGGTATTATGGAAGATGCAGGCAACCACTCTTGAATTTCAGTGATTTATGTATCTGCTTTTATCTCAAAGACACACACTCAGGATTATACCGGCTTCCTGCACTCTTTGGTCTGGATCCAGTTGAAGGAGGTTCCTACTGTAGGAGGGTTTACCCTTTTGGCTTTCTACTCCCTGGCTCCTCTCTACTTTTTAGGCAACTTTTCCTACAAGCTCTGCTTCTACTAAAACTCCACTGCCCATCAGGAGAGGCTGAGCACTGAACACATTACATTTTCTCCAAGCAAATCTGATGAGGGTTTCCACTGGAATCACACATGTAAATTTGCCTTCAAGCCCCAAGGAAATCCGGATTCTTAGGAAAAGCGATAGATTCCCCTAAAATATTACCACCACGTGTCTTTTATCACTCCAATGTGACATAAAGATGCAGACTTAGACGACCCCATACACAATTACCCCTCTCCGCCCCCCGATTATCACCGTTCATCATTTATGGGTCCAGAACGCACAGAGAGAGAGATCAAGCGAGCTGTGAGCGGGGGCTCAGCAAGTTAAAAACAAAAACAAACGCTTTTCTTATGATGACGCTATTTCCCGCCGGCTGAGCAGCAGTGTTTCCTTATTGAACAGCGCCTTGAATCTTAACAATAATTTTTAAAGCTGTGCTTCCACATAAGAGCACCAGAGACTGGGAAAAGCGCTGGGATTGACTGGAAAGGCTCGCTGACCAAAGAAACCCAAAAGGTTATCGCCTTTGGTTTGCCTGCGAGGAGTTGCCAAGGTCCGGGCGGAAGCGGACAGAAGCAACTCGCCCAAGAGTTACCAGCTAGGTACTCCTCAGTCCGGCAAGCAGAGAGGCGTGCAGCCCCCGCGCGCACGTTGGCACCGACACCGCAGCCCTGGCAGACCCGGAGGCTCCGGGGCAGCGGGCGGGCGCGCCGGCTGGCGGTGCCCCCAGCGTCATCACCAGCTTGGTGGCTGGCTACTGTGGGGAAGGAAACGCAGCGACCACTACTCCACGCTGGCACTCCCTTCTCCCTCCCGCGGCGAGACATAAAAATGAAGAAAGGAAGAAGAAAGAAAATAAATGAAAGCACAGAGGGTTTCTTTAAAACCCTGGGAGGCTATGCAGCCAAGAGCAAGTCTCAAAGCACCCAAGCCCACACAGCCAGGCAGAGCGAAACCGCCTGTTTACATCCGGCTGCCTCGGAGCCGGATTCCAGGCGGCGAAGAGGGAGGGGGATTCTTACCAAATCTTAATACATGCGTGGTTCCTTGAGAATATCCGATCCACAGTAAACAGAGCAGGAGTTTAATGGAGCGCCTGAAGACTGGATTACTTAGAATCGGGGAAATAATCTTCATGGTGTTTCCGTGCCCACACGCGCGGCACCCCACTTCCCCGATCTAGCGTTAGGCTCCCGGTGCGGGCAGGAATGAGGATGCGTCGAGTGGTGGCCGCAGACTCGATCACGGCATGGTCACAGAGAGAGGAAGGAGTCTCGGCTTCCCGAACCCATTAGCAATCGCTGCATGTTCTTCACTCACTGCGCCAAGGAGCAACCTTCCACTGCAAGGGATGGTGGGACATCCATGTTAGTCGGGGAGCATCCGGGAGAAACCCAGCACGCACACCCACAATGTCCGGCCGCGCGAGCCTGGGGGAGCAGAGGAGGAAAATCAATAGGAAATCCAGCCTTGGAAACGGACGAGGTGTCAATAGCGAGCCACGGTCTTAACACAAAAGGCTCTTTGCTCGGAAGGTTTTGTCAGGCCCTATTCTACTGCACTGCCGCACAGCTTCTGACGTGAAGCCAAGATTAAGTGAGAAAAATTGAGATAGCTGCTCGCTTCCTAAGGCTCCCTGCCAGTGAGCTTCCCAATATCTATTATGCAACCGATCTCATAGCCCACCTTGAGTTGCCAAAAAGAAGTCGTATGTATTTACGTGGAGAAAAATGGCTTTGATTTTCAGTAAGATTCTTTGCTAAGTGAGTGAGTGGTGTCTGCAAGCATACTTCTTCTTACAAATAACTGATGAATTTTAATAAATGATTAGCCAAATCAAATTCACTTTGCTTAGGTATTATTTTTTAAAAAAGGAAGTGATACAAAACGGAGGGGCTTACTGTCTAAAAAACTTGTGGTTTGCTGAGTGTCTTACTTGTACTTTTCTTACTTTGACCAAGAATGAACATAGATTAAAATGCAATTGTAGAGGTGAACATAATCTTTAAAAACTTGAGTGGTGCATTCCTTGATTACTAATCCACAGTAAAGACAGAAATTTCTGCAAGTGGACTTTTAAAGGAAAGATGTTAATTTGAAATGAAAGAATTATATTTTCCCACTAGGATTTTGTTAATCTAAAGTAACTGTGCATATATAAAAGACATTGATGTTTGAACTGGTGCAAACTCAAAAGGTTTCAATAATTTATGCCCAGATTTCTGTTAATTTTTTAATCATTTTTTTCTTCAAAGTGGGATATGAGATTATAGCATGAGTAACATGGAATGTCTTAGATTTGTCTGAAAAGGTCTTATCATTTGCTATTTTACTGATAGAAACAGAGTCCTCCTCTTGGCTTTCATAAGCCATAATTCATACAAGTCAAAAGTTAAGAAAAACATTTGCTTTTCACATCAAAATACCTTTTATTGTTGAAATAGATAATATGCTATATATATTAAAGATATCCAATGTTAATATTTTACATTAGTTAAATGAAACTAATGTGGATAGTAAAAATATATTACTGTCAACATTTTTAAATGATTAACACAAAAGACAAACTATTGCATCTTTACCTTATAACTGAACTTTTTCATAACCAACTTGCAGGGCATAGGTAAATTTTATGAAAAAGTAAGAGTATATCCTACTTAATTTTTATGTAAAGGGTGAAATGAGTACTATTTAAATCTTGTTACATTTTCTCCAAAAAGCAAGAAAACCATGTGATATTTTCATTCCATCATAATGATTTTTTCAACCTATATTTTCTTCAAATATTACAAAATGCTGATTTGAAAAAAAATCTACATTTTACAAAGGCATTAAGTACCACTGATTTTTTTTTAAGATGGAAGCATAACTGCAGTGTCAAAAGTAAGTATCATGAATGGCTAGTTCTGCAGTCTAGCAGACAATTCAGTCAAATAATTCGTCAATTTGAGCACTTTAAAAGGAACACCTAGTGCTAAAACCAAGGGTATATAGCGACTCCTTCAGTCCAAGTTTAAAATATCTCTTATAGAACATGCAGCCCAACATGTTCGGTCTTGTATCTATCTGCTGTCTCACTAATTCCATTCTATTTGCTCATTTTCCTTTTTATCCTAGAAGAGATAATGATGACTGCCAGGGTAACAATAAATATTATTAGTTTTTTCAGTTACCAGCATAATTGATATCTACCACCAGAAATTAGCATGTTTCCTTATGACTAATCAAAATACTGCAATTTTTCATTGCCATTGACAGTTAGTGCAACCTGAGAAAACAAAATGTACCATAACTCGTTTATTTATTTTGTTAACATGATGGCATCTGACATTACAGTTGTAATGTATCTGCTTAGAACTAGTATTCTAGTATTCTACACCATGTCATTTGTGTGAGGTTACTTATTGGATGTGGAGTTGGAAAATGAAAGATTAAACTTCCAGATTCATATATTTCCTACACAATAATTTAACTGTAAAAACGTAGCACACCTTTTTATATTAACTGGTCTTCAAAGAATCAATTTGACCACATGCTAAATTATGTTCAATTATATCTACCAACTAAGTTGAAAGTCTTTAACACAACAGACAACTCCACCTGTCCAACTGAACTTCTGCAAGACTGGAGAGGACCTTTCTTCAGGACCGTGGACAGCGCCCTCAGGCACTGATTTATTTTGTGCATTTGAAGTGGCAAAATGCCATTTGAAGTGACAATGTACATATTTCTACTGCACAGAGTCAGGTAATTTGAATTATTGAATTGTTTACATTGTTAAGAGGACTATTTTGTCAACTGTGCTGTATTTTCCAACATGACTGACCAGGACTGCTTAACATACCCAAGATGTAGTAATAGTCATCCCTTTCCTAAGCATACTACTACAAAAGTGACTTAAATTCACTGTGAGTTCCCTCATGAGCACTAAACTGTTCCTTGCATAAAAATTGCTTGAAAGATCACAAAGAATTCAGAATGCTTTATAACATGCTGTCAATATTCAGTGGCTAAAGACATTTCTAAAAGACGCAATTAGTTATCGCTTTCAATTCTCCACCTCCAGATTTCCATCTGTTATGAGGGTAATCAGATTAATTCTCATTCTTTCTCATTACACTTCACTCACTCACTAGGACAAAAAAAATTTAAATTTACCTCTCCAATAGAAAATGATTTGCTGGTTTTGAGATGCCTTTATTGTATGGTGATTTTGAAGTTATTAAAAATTCCCTCAAATGCTGAAATCAAATGTTGTAGTACTGATGCTATATGAAGGAGCAATAAAATCATTCTACAGTATTTCACTGATCATATTTAACTCTGAAAAAATTATGTCAGTGCCGTAATTTGCTCCTTTCTTAAAGGAAAAAATACACTGTTTTTGAGTGTCAGATGATCAAACATATTAGTAAGACTTATGTACTTTATTCTATGATCTCATTTGCTTTATTCTCATTTTAACCATATGGCAACCTTTATTTCCAAGAGCCAAAGCTCTGTAGGTTCCAAGGTCATGGCAGGGATGACAAACTGCAAAACACACACACACACACACACACAAACATGCATATAGAGTTGTGTCTAAAAGTAAACCTTGAAAAATATTACAGAAGGCTGACATAAAGAAATATGAAGACTATGATTTGTTTTTCAAAATGCAAATGTCCATGCAAAGCTTCTTCCAACAACAAAAAGCCATCAGTTTCATCTCTCGCTGTATTTTTATATTTGCTGACATTAATGACCTCTTATTCTTGGGCACTATTTACTTGAGAGGCAATTTCAGTTTCCTATTCTCCCACTGAAAATGATTCTTATTCTAGTTAGCTGCCACCTGCTGGGGCATGAACAAATGTGTAATAATCCTCATAGCACAGCATTTAGAAAGACAATGCCTATATCTTTTGCTAGAAACAACAAATATACTTGTATATTCCAGAACAACCTGAATTTCAAAGGTGTTTTAAAGGTTCTTCCATGCCATATCTAAATTTAAAATCTTCACATGGAGTTCTTACTAAGAATTCCATTTGACTTGTCACTGAAGTCTTGCTACTATATGACATTTTAAAATTTCACCGTGTAGTAGCACCTACCTACCCTATTCTTTCATGCAAGTGGCCTGTTGTACTGCAGCTTAGCTAAAAAAAAAAAAAAAAAAAAAAAAAAAATAGCCTGCTCATGGAAGGCACTCAAAATGTCAGAGAATAAAGTCAGGGCTGAGATCACTTGAAATCACACTGTTGCATACTTGCAATTCACTCTTCCTAACTATGAATGCTATGCTACCCTTTGTGATTCTGAACACTATCAGCTTTTCCACCAACATTCTGCTTCATTGAAGATTAATGACATTGGGAGTTTCAATTAATTTTTATATGCCAACGTGTATCTTAATTAAGAAACCGAAGTGGAGCAGATTTACATGTTCTGGAACTTTAAAAAAAATTCAGCTTCTGAAACCTTCATGGGGTTTATGTGGAAGCAAACAAACAGGGAAACTTCAAGGCATCACTTTATCACCTCCCTCCTGTGCATTTCCTATTCTTGTTTGTTTAACTCACAATCAGATGTGTTGGTTACAGGAATGTGCTCTAGAAAAAGTTACAAGGTAATGAACTAAGAGGCACTGAGCATTGAAATACAATTGCACATCTTCCAGAAACTGAACTACAGGCTAATTAAGGTTCAAATGAATCCGTCATCACTTGTGACATGAAAGTCACCATTAATCCCTAAGGTAATTTCTGGTGGCAGAATACTTACAGGATGAAGATGAAGAAATGATAGAAGATGAACTATGCGTCACTAAAGCAGAGTAGTAGTAAGTTTTCTAACACATTGTTCCCCTATCTGGGAAGCCTGAGCTGGGTCATGTTGTTTGGTGAAGAAATCCTGTCTCCTCAGAGGTTACAACAGGGGATGAATTAGAAGTTCTTGAGATTTATGAGCCACCCCAGTGGTACCTCTTTACATTAATGGGACGTCTTCTGAGCGTTTTTTTTTCCCCCCAGAATCTCTCAATGCTGGAGACGGTAAAAATAACGTCTGTGCGTCCTGGGCACAGAACTAAGGAGCAGGGTTAATGCAGGAATGGGTGGACGTGAGGCAGGCTGAGGAGTTCGTCAGACCCGCCGGCAGGCTCATAGCTCTTTGCCATCTGTCTCACTCTCTTCGCCTCCCGTGAGAACGGGTGGCCGAGGCCACTTCCTGACACGTCCACTTATTAAATTATTTTCTGTGGAGAACAGGAGCGCCTGCAGCCCACAGAGCCACTTGCATCCTTGACGGGAATTGGCTGAGGCGATCCGGACAAAGCCACTCTCAACGAATCGGTCCAGCGGGCGCCCCGAGCGCCCCGGGCTCCGGCGTGCTGCTGTTCGCCTTCCTTCCTCCTCTCCGGAAGGAAAATGCCCCTCGCCCACCCGCAGTCCCACCCGTCCTCGTGGGAGCAAACAGCCGGGGAAGGAGCCCAGAGCGGTGCCCACCACTGGGGAGTCCTTACCTTGCGCTGGGGACGAGGTGGGCGGGGAGGGGGTGGGGTGGTCCTCGGGGAGGAGCAGCCGCGGGAGGTCGGGCGGGAAGTCCCGGGCTCCCAGACCCAGCAGCGCGATCCGCCGGCGCCGACCGCGAGTGACGGCGGCGGCGAAGACGGTGACCGCGGAGCGGCGGCGGCGGCGGAGACAGACACGCCTCCTGGCGGGGGTTCCTCTCCTCCTGCTTTAAAGGCGCCGCGCTCCTTTCCCCGTGGCCCACGCACAGGGCTAACCCGCCGCGGAGGCCACCCCTGCGCAGCGCCTGCCCCTGGACCGCACAAGCGACAATGAGAGAATTCCGGGCGCCGCTAGACCTGATCCTTAGGATCCAAGCCGCTCCCCGCCCCCACCCCGGACAGGCACTGCGTCCCTTGAGGACCCTGCTGCCGCGGGGATCAGGGGACTAGGGCCGAAGACAGGTTGTGTCAGGAGAGAGGGATGCAAGGCACTGAGGAATTTGCCTGGCTCCGGGTTATGCCAACGTATAGAGGAAACTCACGCACGTTTGATTCTGGTGGTGGCTTTTATGCCTCTCGGAAACCATAGCAACGAAACTTCTCCGCTGCCAGGGTTTGGGGAGCAGCTGGCAGTCTCCAAAGTGGCCCTCTAAGTCCAACTACTGCATTTCCCTTCGAGCTTTGCGCGAAAGATCTTGATCTGCACCCCCTCCCACGCCCACCTGCTGTGCACACCGCAAATGCACCGGCTCCCCCGGAGCTGCCTGTACCCCCTTGGACACTGGGAGTCTCAGAGCCCGGTTCCCCGCGCCTCCGCGGCTCGGTTGAGAAGCACGGAAAGGGACATTTGCTGAGCGTCAACGGATCTGCGTGCAGGCTCTGAGCGTGTTTGGCACCTAAATAGCAGATGCCTCGCCCCAACCTACCCCCACCCCGTCCCTGATCTCTCAACCTTAGCAAATTTCAGAAAGAAGTTATATTCGCGGTCTATTGGGAGCTGAACTTGATATGGCAGACTCAAGATTGGAGAAAGAAGCCCTGGTCTGACCGCCGCCGGTCTGAGATCTCTGAGGGGGATTTTTCAAAGGCCACAGATAGGGAGGAGGCTCCAGAGTCCCTGAGTCTTCCCAAAGCTCGGCTTGCAAGGAGCGCACCAGGCTCCCGCTGCTTCTCCGTGGAAGCGATTAGCTTCTGCAAACAATCACCGATTTCGGCTCCTCTGGGTCAGAAAAGTCAACACTACTCAATACCGATGCTATTTTATCCTCAGCACTACAGTATTAACTACAGCAGAGACTTAGCAGCTTCCCCCAGAGGAAATTGGCGAGCTGCGATTTGCCCAGAGGTTTAAGCGAGGCTGAGCGGGAACAGGCCCTGTGCGCAGGGCCCAGGGGACAATTTCCAAACGAGCTGCACAGGGAGGGGGCCGGGGAACCCCCGGGGCAGCCCTAGTCGCTGGCTGTCCTCCAATTTTTCATCCCGAAGGCTTGGGAGTAAAAGCGTTCTGAGGCCATAGTAGTTACTAGTTGTCTGAGCTGGAGATGGGCATTTGTCCTTTGTGCTGCCTCCTTCCCCAAGTCCTCGCAGAGTTAAGCCCTCATCCGACCCTGGTTGCATCAGTGCCACCCTCCACATCTGGGACCAACATCTGACTCAGCCTAGCTCTGAAACACACAGAAACTCGGTCATGCCCAAACTATTACTTTCCGTTCTTTCGGTCAGTCACACTAAGTACTCTGTACCCCCTACCTTCTCATGCCTACAGCGCTCGCCTGATAGGGAAGACCGGGGTTGGAACTTAAGTAAGGAGAGAGGACTTAGTGGCACTGGAGACACCCTTTAAAGATCCCGGGAGTGGGGGTGGCTAGGAGGCTCCGGTAATTAAGTCAACAGCAGCCTTGTTGTATGGAGTAAATAAATAGTCAATGACTCCATTGTGCAGCCTGGAGCGGGCAGCACAGACGCGTGACCGGCTCTGCGCGCCTGGGCTCCAGCTGCTGTGACCTGCAGTCTAATGGACCCTCTAAGCACAGCCGAGTTGGGACCAGGCATGGAAAAAAATGCCACATTCAGTCCTATCCCCCCATGGGAGTAATGAAGACAACTTGACTACTGGCCAAAGGCACTGCCTGTCATCATAATTCGCTCCCCACGTCCAGGCTTGGAGGATCAAAACACGGACATGAGTAGGTTCCAGTGAAAATCCTAGGAGAAGGAAAACATTCAACCCTGTGTTGTGGTGACACTGAGCGTGAAGCAGCGAGTGTGTCTAATGTGACTATAAATATTCAGCACTGAGTCCAGCATGCAATAGTTGCTGAGTGAAAGTGCTAGGACTACTGAGATCCTGTTTCCACCTTCCATACTGTTGTCCCCAGCCCCACACTGCAGCATGGAAGCAGAGGCCTCCTGTTGGTTGTGGTATGTGTGAGCTTAGAACTTAATGGTGCATTTCTTTCCCAGAATAAACAGGACATAATCCATAAAGAAACGAGAGGCCAGAACAAGGGCAAGGGGCCGCAGAGGGACACAGCCTGGAGAAGAGTGCAACAAATCAAAATTATTCATGTTGTGACCAGTTCATTTCCTCAGGAGTAACATGTAATCTCGATTCTAATGAGGAAAGTAGACTAATAAGGGTACATTAGACTATCCACATCAATTTAACCCTTCAAAACATCTCCAATGCTATAAAAATATCTTTCTCATCATTTATTCAGGATTTCTGAGGTTAAACATTTTAGGAATCACCTCCCAATTTTCTTCTCAGGCAACCGTGAAGCCTTTCCCTTTCCATTCATAGTCATGCTGACAATTTAATTTTCCATATTATAGAAAAGCACTAAGTCCCTCAGCTGGTCTTAGTCAGGAGCAACCTCCCTATCCTCCCTTTCTTACCTCTCAAAGTGCTCTTGGAACATTAGCACATCTGGACTTTGGACTCGTAGAGACCCGGCAGGAGCCAGTCTGAATTTCCAAGATTTCTACCAGGGTTTGCTTGCTCATTTATTTGGTTTGGTCAAACTAACAGGGGAAATGGAAAGTATTATTTTGGATCATCTCATTCAATGATTTCATTTTATAGCTGATAAAAACCAAAGTGAGAGAAAAGGAGTGACTTGCACAAAACGAGACAGAACTGAGCCTGCTTTCTAGCTGTGAAGAGCAGCATCAGGCTGTCTCCTGTCATCCCCTTTCAAAACTTAGACTCATGTGAAGTAAGAACTAAAAGAAACTTCAAGGACATCTACTCCATTTCAGTTTCACAGACTTTCTTCTCATCTGGAAAAAAAGTGTGCACATTTGGTCTGAAAATTTTGCCTATAATAATAGCAGACAACACATCCCCTGAAGACCATTGCGGGTTGATTAGGAGCCCCTTGAGCCCAAGTTTAAAATCACTGGTCTAGTCCAACAATGCCATCTTACAAATGAAGAAATGGAGAAGAGCAAACTTACTCAGAGTCTCGGAACAGGTTTAGCAAAGTTTGAGGACTGGAGACATGGTGTCTTGAATTCCACCTGTTTCCATTCCCTCGGATCCTTTTAGTATTAATAACCCATAATTAATATCTGTGCTTAAAGTCTGGAATCTATTAATCATTTCTGAAACCTCTCAATATCATCATTGAATACATATTTATTTGTCTGTCATCACACTGTGCTTGTAGTAGCCAAGTAGCAATAAGCAAACTAAACAAAATCCATGCCTTTGTCAGATATAGAGGAGTGTTATGGAGAAAAACAAAGAGACACATAGGATAGGGTATGTGTATCAGTAAGGGGTATGGGAAAAGAAGGCACTCTGCTCTTTTATATAGGGTGATCAAGAAAGGTCTCCCTTATTTGACATGTGAGCAGAAATCTGAAGGTTCTGAAGTAAGGGAAAGATCCATATGAATACTGCAAGGGAGAAGTTTCTAGTAGAAGAAATGTAAGTGTAAAGGATCTGAGGTTGAAACAAGTATCAAGTCCCTGCAGAAGTGCAAGGAAATCAGTTTCCAGAGGAGACAGGATACCAGCAGCAAGTCCAATCAGAGAAGAGCAGAGGGTCATGTCTTAGAGAGCTTTGGGTTTTTCTCTGAAGGCAATAAGGAGGCCATGGATGGATTTTGGTTAGAGGAGAAGTACAATCTGACACATGAAATGGGCCATTTTGGCCATTTATTTAGAAGGAGTAGGCTTAATAAAGGACTGGGTGGAAGCAAGGCACCCTACTGGGAAGCTACTGTAATAATTCAGATAAGACCAGACTGTGAATGGGCCCAGAAGGGTGGAATGAAAAGAGGTCAGAGTTTAGATACTCATATATTTTAAAGTAAAGTTAAGAGAATTTGCTGACTGATCAGAAGAAATTGGATTGCAAGATTTTTGGACTAGTAATTGGGAGTAGTTATTTGAGGAGATGAAGAAGGTTATAGGAAAAGAGGCTTGGAAGATATCAAATAAATAATGAGTGAAGGTTTGGACATAATAGGTTTGACATACCTTGGACATCCAGACAGAAATGCTGAATAGGCAATTGTATACAATAAGTCTAGAATTCAGAGGAGAGACACATACTTGTGAGTCATCAGCCCATAGAGTTATGGGACAAATGAGAGAACCTAGAGGATAAAAGCCAACAGGGAAATGAGGAATTCTTAAAACTGAAAATTAAGACATTCCAGATTTATATACACAGGGGAGATGAGAAGGAAAAAAAATCAAAGGAAATAGAGAAGTAGTAGCCATTAAGGTAATAATCAAGGATTTCTCAGAAGCCAAGTATTCCCCTAAATAAGTAATGTTCAGCTGAGCTAAATGATGCTGATAGTGATCATTAAGAGTTGGCCATTTGATACAGCTATGTGGACACAACTGGTATTCTTGAGGAGAACAGTTTTGGAGTAATGGTAGGAATTACTGCATGTCAAGAGAGAATAGGAGAGGATTTGGAGATGAAAAATAAGATCATTATTTTCAAGGAATTTTATTCTTAAGGACAGTGGGGAAATGGAGCAGTATCTGGAAACAATGTAGACCAAATAGTTGTATTTTCACTTTTTAAAGATTTATTTATTTATTTGAAACGCAGAGTTGCAGAGAAAGAAGAAGAGACAGAGATCATCTATCCACTGGTTTGATCTCCAAATGACTGCAAATTCCAGAAATGGACCAGCCCAAAGCCAGGAGCTAAGACCTTCATCCCAGTCTTCCACGTGGGTACAGTGGCCCAAACACTTGGGCCATCTGCCACTGACTTCCCAGGCACGTTAGCAAGGAAATGGACCAGAAGCGAG